TTGTTATTGACATATTCTAGTTTATGTCTATGCAAAAATAAATATTGTCTTGGATCTGTCATTGCTTCTTATCTACCCCATAGAAGAAGCCACTTGCTTGAGTAGTGGGACAAAAGTGTCAGGATTGTGGTAGAAACCCTTTCCTCAAAGGGCAGCTGCCCTTCTGCTGATGGAGGCCTGGAGGTTATTACCCTGAGCAGTAGAGGGAGCCAAGCTCAGGCCTGGGCTTGGAGGAGCGGACCTGGTTCAGGAGGCCAGAAGAGGCTGAAGGAGGTGGGGCATTTGTCCTAGATCATAAGCAACCACTAGCAAAGCCAGAAAGGTAAGGGCCCCAGGTGCATCACCTTGATTCCCAGAGAAGAGCAGGGTGGTGGGGAATTGTGAGAAGAGAGGAAGTGTCTTCCAGATGGGAATTCCCCAACAAGTGGCTGGAATTTCACTGCCAGAGTATCCCCTCAGGACAACATGTTCCTTAGGCTGTTCCAAATAGTCTTCGTTCAGAGCAGCCATGGGGAGAGCACATGTTCCCCAGAGATGTCAGTAGGACAGAGGGACTGAGGCAGAAGAAATTCCGTGGATAGCAAAACAGAAATGGAAAGAGGCCTCCAGGAGATTCTGCTTTTCCTGTCATCCCATCTAGAGGGGGCACAAATAGCACTTGGGTACCCCAAGGTCCCCCCAGCACTTCACAAAAGTTTTGCGCAAAAATCTCTCTCAACTTCCAACCCAGATGAAAAGATTTCTTCAGGCCCTTCAGATATTCCAACTAATGTCGACTCCAAATGAATTTGGGTAAAATGTAGTGCTTTGCGCTGAAAGGCTCAGATTAGGGGAATGCCTTCTTCCTTTCTCTGCTAGCTTATTTCATTTGAGCCCTTAACTGTTTCCAAATCCACCTGTCATCTGTAACTCAGTTGAAGGCTTTACTATGATCTGAACCTACTTTGCAGAATTTCTCTGATCTAAGGAAAGACTAGTTGATCAGAGGGCATGGCTTTACAAAGGATCTGCTGTCTTAGGAGCTTAGGTAACAAATGCATCTTTTTGTCTGGTGCACTGCTGTCCTCGTGTCTTGAAGGCAAACCACTTTATTTACCTAGGGAGAAGTGCTTAGTATGTGATCAAACAGTTGTCCCACTGAGGTGTACCTTTGCTGCATGCCTCTCACCAATGTCACCCATGGCCATCCCTTGGATTCCACCTTTGCACCCCTTCTCCTCCATTGCACTCTGCCACATCTCTTACATTCCACCTTTGCAGGATCTCTCAATTTCACCTCGATAGCACCTTTGAAAATCCATGCTCTCTCTCTTCTGACGTTGCCCCTCCCCTGTTCCAAGACTCATCACCTCAAAACTGCAATATTGCAATAGTTGCTTGTGGATCTACCTGCTACAACTCTCTCCTTACTCCTTTCATTTCTGAAAGTGGTTTTGCTAAGGTGCATGTCTATTTCACCCACCCATCCAACGTGAACCCCCTGAACAAAACTCCAATTTTGAATACAGTCAGCTCTAAGAATGAGAGAAAAGAAACTGAACCAGTGCCCAACATGCTAGTAAAGTGCATTGTGCAAGCTTCTGGAGAGAAGCCTAATCAACGATTTTCCACTCAATCTCAGCTTAGATTCATTTTTAACTAGAAGGCTTTATTTCTCCAAGGCCTTATTTCTAACAATTGTGGCTGCCCTCAAGGACCTTTCAGTCTGATGAGAGAGACAACAGGCAAACAACTACCTAGAAGAGATGATGTTTGGGAAGAATAGGAAAAAAATCGCTAGAAGGCAAAATGAAGAGAGGTTGGGGGAGGCTTTTTGTAATAGATGGAATCCACTCCATGGGAAAGGAAGAAAGAGTGAGGGTACTACACATCTGCCTCCTAGCTTCTAAATGCAGGGGGATAAAAAGACAATTGAAAACAGAAAGCAAGCTAACCTGGTTCCCACAGTTACCTCAAGATAATCCACCAGATCTAAGAGGCCTATACTTGGCTTTCCTGGGTCTTCAAGGCAGAGATCCTACCAAGCCCTAGCGGTGGGCACCCTGGGTTGACAATTGTGACCCAGATGAACCTTGAGCCAAGGAGACTGAAGAAGAACACTCAAATATGTAAGAAGAAATTCAGGTGAGGGTGGAGCTTCTCAGATTTTACTGCGTTCACTGGACATACAGCCTCCACAATGATCTGGGGCTTCCTTTTCCTCTTATTCATTTTGGTGTCTTATCCTTCCTATTGCAAAGATCATTCCCCTTGGAAGAGAAAAGAGAAGCAAAGAAAAACATGAATAGCCCAGTTATCATTTTATTAGCACTTTTTTTGTTGAGGAGCAGTCCAGGCCCTTCTTTGTACCCTTTTTTTCCCCCTGCAGCAACGCTTAAACACATATGCACAGACATATATGCATGGGCACATACTCATATGCACATACATGCAGACATACTGGCATGCACATGAATACACAGCTACCCAAAGATGATTGTAATAACCATTCTCAAGTTATTTCAATTTTTGGTTTTTTTAAGATTGGCAGTTTGTGGGTGGGAAAGTAGTTTAATAGTCAAAGAAATGAATGATGTTGAAAAATATAACACATATTATGGTACCTGTGATGTTCACACATGTGAAATTAACACCCATGAGCTTTACACACCACACTACCAATGCAATTACATGTTCCTTCTTAGCTGGGCCATGAGCCTGTGTCAATGGGGGAAAGGGTTGGTGGAGCCTCATCTCATCCTGTCTGTGTTAATAATTAAGGCTGTGTTAGAACTCCAAGCCTTTCTGCTCTTCTAAAGCTTCTTCACAATAGACTCTCTCTCTCTCTCAGCACAATAGTGTCTGAGGAGACAGAGACAGAGAGAGACAGAGAGACATGGAGACAGAGAGACGGGGAGACAGAAGGACACAGGGCAGAAATTTGGGTGCTCCAAGGTGAATGACTAGCCAGGAAAAGGGGCTGCTAAGTAACTCGACAACAAAGAGAAAAATGAGGACAGAAGACCCAGGAGGAAGGGGCCAAGAGGTCTGACAGTGTGAGTGATGATGAGGACTGAGCCCATCAGGCTGGTGAGTCTCTCATGCATGTGCTTGTGATTTAAAAGGAAACATTGCCTTAAAAGCTAAAACCTTTTTAAAGAAACGAATTTTAATGAAGGGTTCTTTTTGCAGCCCCTTGTGAGGCCCTTCCTGAATTTGTTGGCATCCTAGAGTCTCTTTCCGTATCTTGAGTTACCATAAAACCTCCCCCCTATGCTGGACTGTCAAAATTCCTTGTCTTCCTCATGCTGAACCATAAAATTTCCCATCTTCCTTCTCCTAGGTCCCCTATCCTGCCATCCATCTTCCTCATCCTGTGTCATGCCATCCTCTCCCCTTATTTTCTCAGATCAAAGAGACCCTTATCCCTTGGTAACTTGCTAGTCCTCTTTCCAGAGCTAGCCTGCTCCTTTTGCATTAATAAAGCTCAGGAATGAATGAGGCAACTCTGCATTTACCCCAGGTGCCATCATCCTCTAGCGTTCTGGCTTAGTTGCCTGGCTTGGCAGAACTTTGTGCCCTCGCAATATTCCAGTGGATGGTACCTAGCAACCTTCGGGGTTCCAGTAACAGAAGGCCAGATGCCACAGTACTGGCTACCAAATGAAAAAAATGCCAATGGCAATTTTTTTCTTCTTGTTCATTTATTCAGGTAAGCTACTTCGTGGCTGTATACGACCCACACCCAGAAGTCTGTTTTCCTTGCAGGCCAGTGAACATCTGCATTCTGGTTCTACTCTGGCAAGCCACAGTACAATAGCCGGCGTGCAGTCTCTGCCCTCTCTGAGACCCCAAACGCTTGGGCCAAACAGCAGAAAGTGGCAGTTTGCCTTGCTGGGGCAGTTGTCTGGGCTCAAAATGGGGCTTGGGAAGTGGTTTTGTCTTGTTCCATGTGAAGCAAGGGGCCTCCTTTTTAGGCATGTGAGAGATGGGTGAGAGGCTGGGGAGGCCCTGGAGTGACGTCTGTGTCCATTTTAGGATTCTGGTTTGTTGGTGCCTGTTTGGTTTCTTTTGATTGTCTCCTGAAGGCTTCCCCACAGGGACAGACACAGCTTATCCTCACCCACTATGTTTCATAGATTCTGGGGGCTGGAAGGCCTCTCAGAAGCCCTAGGGACAAGCCTACACCTCCAGCCCCGTACCTCCCTTAGCCAGGCTGAGTCTGCCGGTCTGTACCCTCTTTACATTGCGCAGAATAGCTTGGCCCCTCTCCTCCACGTGGCAGTCCTCTGGCATTTGGAGGTGGCTCTCCTGTTACCAGAAGCTCCCTCTGGGTACAGTATCCATTCAAAAACTTGGCCCCCAGAACTCTCCATGCCAGATGTGGTCTGGACAGGAGAGTGGCCCTGTGTAATGCTACCCTCGTAATCCTGGACATTGTCTCTGTCTCTCTTTTCCTTCCCCTCTCTGTGTCTCGTCCTTCCCCTCCCCACCTCTCTTTCTCTCTCTCATTTGTCCCTCTCTTTTTCTCTCAATGTCTCTGTCCTGTCTCTCTGTGTCTCTTTCTGTTTGTGGCCATGATTTCATCATAACACCAATGGATGTTCAAGAAGACCTTCACTCCAGTGTAACTGGCTTAGGCGTGGACAGCGATGGACATGGCATCAGTGAGTTGGTGCTGGCCCTGAGGCCCTCTCCTGTTGGCCTGTCCCCTGAGCAGGGCTCTGAGATGGGGTGCTCCAAAAGTCGTGAGGGGCCCAGATTGCCATCAGGGGTGACTGGGGTGGAGGTCTGGCAGCACAGCCACAAAGCAGGACTGTCCATGTGGCCAAGAAGCACTCATAGGTGTCCTAGATCTTCTTTGGCATCTGTTTGATCTGTGAATGGCTCTGTTGAAGCAAGAAATGTCTCCTTCACTCTCCCCCCCTTTGGACTAGAGTGTGTGATTTGGTGCTTTGATGTCTTTGCATCTTTTGTGCCAGTGGTCCTTGGGAGCCTCCTCCTTGACCACAAAGTGCTGCTCTTCTTGTTGGCTGCGGAGGCACAGCCCAAAGGGGGCCCTCTTTTTCATCTGATTCTTCAGAATAGGCCTGCACAGGCTGGCATGTAGAGGTCACTTGGGATCACTCTGACCTTTTTTTCTTGTTGTTCTCTTTTAGGTAGTGCCATTTCCGCTGTAGCAAGGGCAGGAAAGCAAGCTACAGAGCAGGTAAGAAATCCAGCATGTTTTCAAAAGACATGAAGGTAATCCTCCTGCAGGGCTTGGGAATGTGGGCCGTACTAGTCACCAGGAGTCTTTAAAACACCTGTGGCTGTGGAAACAATCCCCTGATGGGCAGGGGAGGGCCAGCAGGTGGGCCAGGAGGTGTGGTGGATGGTATCTGTCTGCCTTTGCCCAGCATCAGAGCCCGTATGGGGCATGTACACTATGACCACCCCGTTGCCCTTAGGCGTGACCACAGGGTCTTCCCCTAAAGATGGTGGGAGTTCATTTCTTATGAACATAGATTTTGTAAGAAGAGAAGAGAGCAGGAACAGGTGAGGCCAGTGTCCAAGTTGTTTGAAAAGCTGCTTTTCTAGACTCCCTTAAGGTACCCGCCTGCTTTGTTCTCTTGGGGTTTCGAAGCAGACTAGTCAATTTGGTGCTCTATGTGCATGTGTGTGCATATGTGTGTGTAGAGGAGACCATCCCTGCTCTCAAGGGGCCCTTTTCTAATGGGGCACATGCCATGCCCTGTCTGAGGTCCTTAGGGTAGAGCTGTGCCCATGATCCCGGGCTCTTTGGCAGGGGCAAGTCCCTCTGGTGTGCCTCTGGCATGGGGTGGGGAGGTGGTCCACCTAGTAGGCCCCTTTCTGAAGCCAGCCCTGGACATGCTGCAGGGTGAGAAGCAGCAAGTTAAGGAGCTGCAGGCCCTCATGGAAGAGGAGCAGAGGCAGAGTCTGGAGAAGGACCAGCTGAGGTCCAGGACCCTTGAGGCAGATGCACACACGAAGCCTGGAGGGAAGCTGTGGTGCCCATTGCTAGTGGCAGCCCCTGGACATGCAGGGGTGGACAGGGCAGGAGAAAGGCTTGGGGCAGTTGGCGAGTGTAGACTTGGAGCAACTGTGGCATTTCCGTTTGTGTAGCAGTCAGTAGCTGTGACTGATTGAGGGAGGAGGCCCAGGCCAGGCCAGGCTGCAGCTGTGGCCCTTCTTTTCCCCACCCAGGAACTGCAGGTGTCTCAGGAGGAGTACAGCCAGATGTGGCAGCTGGTGATCAGCTTGCAGCTAGAGCAGAAGGAGAAGAAGAAGCTCCAAGAGAAGCTTGAGGCTGAGCAGTGGCGCTGCAGGGCAGTCCTGTGCCAGGAGCGCAACCAGGCCCTGGAGTTGCAGAGGGCCCTGGAGGTGGAGCGTGCCCACTCAGCTGAGCTCAGGGCCTCCATGAACCGGGAGCGCCTGCTCATGGAGCAGCTGAGCAAGCTCACCCAGGAGGTGTGCAGGCAGAAGGAGGCCCTGATGCAGTTTGCCTTTGAGGGCAAGCTGAATGAGGAAAAGTCGCGGGCAGCCCATCTCCAGGCCCTTCTGGAGGATGCCCGCCAGCAGGGCATGGCCAGCCGGAAGCAGCTGGTGCTGGAGGTCCAAATGACCCGTGAAGAACTCAGGAAAGAGAAAGAGGTGAGAGCACTGCTACAGGCCTCAGGACATGCCCTCCGGAGGCAGGAGCAGGAGCTACTATTTTATCTGGAAGGTGACAGGGCCAAGCAGGGTAGGCTACACACAGAGCTGGAGCACTTAGAGACCAGGCCGAAGGAAGAGGCTGGCAAGGAGGCCAGGAGGGAGAAGCAGAAATGGCGTGAGCCTAAAGCAGAGGAAGACAAGGGCAAGAAGGGCAAGAAAGACCAGGAGAGGCTAGTGAGGCTCGCCTGCCCTCAGAACCCCAGGGTGCTTGGCATCTGTCTTCTGATGCCAGGGTGCCCTCTGTGACCCACCTTCCTGCCTGGGGGAGGGCTCTGGGGGACAGGGAGCATCAAGCTCATGTTCTCTCAGGGGGCAACCCCCCTACAGATGCAAGGTTGCTCCAATCTCTGTGCAGAATACGGTTAGGTGGGAGGCTGAAGTGCATCAGGAAGCCAGGGAGAAGGAGCAAGAAGATTGCAAGAAGGAGACACAGCCAGAGGAGATTGAAATGGCAGAGACCTTTCTGCTGGAGCTTGTAGGTAGGCAGGAGCCCCTGGATTTCTTGAGAAGGTAGAAGAGGTGACACTTGGGAGAAATCCTTTTGGCAGCAGCATGAACCATGGATGGGGGATGGGGACCAATGAGGGACTGCCAGGTGAGAGGCAAGGAACTTGGACAATGTCTCTGGAGAGAAGAGATGACATGGTTGTCGAAATGACGAAGTGATGGATTCTGTAGCAATTGAGGGGAACTGGGAGGATTGGGGTATCCTCCACAGATAGAGGAAAATCCAGAAAAAGGGGTGGGTTTGGGGGAGAAAGCAACGAGTTCTGACACATTAGGTTTGAGAATGTCCAGAAGAGACAGGGCCCAATATCTGCAGGAAGGAGTCATCTGCTTGCAGCTGACAGCTTGGGCCCATGGGAACTGGGAGGAGAGCAGAAGAGTGGTGAGCCAGGGGTGGGCCGTTCCAGTTGGGATTTTGATGAGAATGGTGGCAAGCCATTGATATGTGTGTGGGCAAGTGGTTGTAGAGAAGGATACAATTCCCCTTGGTTGCTTCCCTATGGACCTTTTAGAGGAGTGAAATTATCATGAAATAAGCCCAGGAATTATGGGCTGAGGTCTTGGCTTGAGGATATAATCTGCTGGGGACAGAAGAAGGGAGGTGGCCAAGGTGAGAAGGGAAGGAAAGGAGGAGGAGATTGTGGGGGAGGGGACCAAGGGATAAAAGATGAGGGGGAAGGGACATGAGAGAGCCCAGTGCTGGGGCTGGGAGATTGAGAGGTTGGGAGCAAAAGGACTGTCTTGTTGCAGTCAGTGGGGGCTGAGTCAAGACCAGATGACATGGACCAGAATACAGTTTGAGAAGAGGCGAGGTGGGCGGTGGGAACAAGGGCTTCCTGAGCAGTGGCAGTGGTTAGCAACAGTCCTCTTCGACTTAGACTCATGGCCGGCCTTGAGAACTTTGTGGGGTGGCAAGATTTCTCAAGGCAGTGTGTTGCAGGGCCCTGAGTACCAGACAGGGAAGAAGGAAGAAGAGCAGTAGTCCAAGGGCTTGGATTTGGATCGTGCCTCTCTGTCTCTTATGGGATTAGCTGTGTGACCTTGCACAAAGCACCTCTCTCTCTGGACCTCAGTCTGCTCATCTCTCAAACTGGAGAGTAGGGCCAGCTTGCTTGCAAGGGTCCCTTCCACTTGTGATTCTGTGCTCCCCAGCCAGTCACCAGTGTGCCTCTGTAAAGCTGGCCCAGAGTCAAGCATTAGCCCACACACCCTGTGACCTTTCCTAGGAGGCTACATTTGTCCCAGCTCGAGCCTTTTCCCTGATGGAGCCAGTGAGAGCCCTGCGGGGCTTTGGAGAACAGCAGGCCCTGTGTCTGCAAGAGCCGGGTCCCTGGCCCTCCCCAGCGGCGGGTCCTCCCATCTCCTGCATTCCAGTGCATCCTCTTCCTTGGCCTGTAGCTTCTCGCGCTTGTGCTAGAGCAGTGTGTAACATTGTGCTTTCTTCTCATCTTGTGCTTGCAGGGCCGGCAGCGGGAGTTCGAGCTGCAGCGGCAGAGAGGTGAGCAGAAAATCCAGCAGCTGCAGCACATGATCACTCAGCTGAGAAGGACAAGGGCTGTGACCCCAGAGCCTGGCAGGAGCATGGTGCTGGGGAAGCTCTTCTCCCTGCCCTGGAGAAGCTTCAGGGGCATCACAGTCAGCTGGAGAACTTGAGGCAGCAGCTGCTGCATGTGGCTGGGCTTCTGAGCAGCTTCATGAACCAAACCCTGAACAGGTGGGCCGTTTGTGACTGGGGGGCTGACATCCCTTAAGAGGCAGATGAAATGGGAGACTCAAAGTTACCAGGAGTAGAAAATGTGGCCCTCTCTCCTCCCTCTGACCTTAGGATCATTCCCTCAAAGCCAGTGGAACGGGCCAGGTGCCCAGACTCACAGGTTTCCCCAGGTCCATCCTCCCTTGGGATGGGTCTGGGTTCTGTTGTCTACCTTGCTCTGAAGGGCAGCTCCTCTTGTCCCTGAGCTGGTGTAGCCAGGCAGCCTATGGGCTGTGCTTGGGATGGATGCTAAGGTTGTTGACATGATTGTAATCTATGTCCTCAGTGAGCTGGAGGCAGTGGAGCCCCGATGCCTCTTGGTTATTGGGCTCTGAAACCAATTGCTGGATGCCCTGGCTTTGGGCATTTCTCCAACAGGAGAAATTCCATTTCTTCCAATAGAAGGCATTGGAATTTATCAAGTTGCTGTCCTTGCCATTATCAGTGTTTAAGAGGAATATGAAGGCAAGGCAGAAGCCAAACGGTTTGAACCTTCCTCAGGTTCACGTGTCATACACACCAGGCAACAACTGGTCACTTTGATAGCCCACTGGGTACCTGGTCACCCTTTGAAATCCAGCATCTCTGTTTTATGATTTGTCTTTTTTGGTTACAAGTAGGTGTATTGCAGCCTTTTGTTTTTCCATCTAAAAATGCATCATCTCACGGAAACAGACTCTTCCATAACAACAAAAATTCTCCAGCCAAATCACTCACAAAGCTGGCAGAATGTTTTCCCACTTACTTGTTGAAGTTCTTTCCCTCTGGCAGACAGAATGTTGCAAGGCCCTTGCTAGGGAGGTAGGCTATTGCAAATCTACATTTTTTAACATCTTCTTTTCTTCTTAACAGAACAATCAATGACTGGACATCATCAGATGAAAAGGCTGCAATGTCCTTGCTGTTTACTCTGGAGGAATTGAAATCAGAATTGATGTCAGGCCTCACTCAAGTAAGTTGGAGCCCCAATCCTCATTGGAAATGAGTGAGGCCCCCCAGGGGAAGAGGGAGAGATATCCTTGCCCACCATGCTGTGACTGGGTGGCAGATGTGTCAGATGTGGGGTCTCCCGCTCCTTCCTCTGAAGCCCTTGTTCGCCTTGCTCTGACGCCTTGGTGTCTGCCTTTGGAAAAAAATGTTTGAAAAGGCCAGCTGAGGAAAATGGTGGTGTTCAGTCCCCTTTCATTTTTATGGATGACTTCTGATTTGTGGTTTCTTGCTCCCTTAGTTTACTTAGGATGCACTTGTGTAACAGAATCATCCCATCTCTGTGATCAGGTGCTGGACTGTGGTCTCTCTCAAACCTTTACAGATTATGCTCACTTCTTGTGACAGACTGCCATATTTTAGTAAGACTAAGAATGATGTATTAACTTCTTAAGAAAGCATGTTCATCATGTCACATATGTAATATCCCCCCACCTTTCCTCTTCAAAAAATTCACAGAAGTCTCTTTTTTCTCCTTCCGATCCAGTTAGGGAAAAGAAGAACCAAATTTCTTGTAATTATATGCCTAGTTGAACCAAACAAGTGCCCATAGCGGATGGCTGACCTCCCACCTCACAGATGGTCTTTTTGCAGAGCAGAGAGAACACCCCCCAAATGTTCTTTCTTGTCTAGCCCGTGCTCTCCAGTACTGCTCTTCCCAGCTCCGCTCACTTTCCTCTGCATCTGGTGAGCAGGTCTTTCCATGCCCACACCTCTTTGGAGTCACATGGTCCCTCAGCTCTTTCAGCACACTCATTCTCCTTCACATTGGTCTGCTTGATTAGTTTATACATTCCTCAGCTGATGGACATCCCCTTACTTTATAGTTTTTGACACCATGAAGAGATCTTCTGTAAGTTGCTTGATTTTGTTTTTTAATTTTTTTTTTGTGAGAAGGATATTTTCTGCTTCCTTTGATCTCTTTGAGATGTAGCCCTAGAAGTCACATAGCTGGGTCCAAGTGGCCTCACTGTTGAATAAGTTTTTGTGCATGATCCATATTACTTTCTGATATGTTCAAGCTGTTCACGGATCCATCAGCAAAGTGTCCCCCAGTCCTGCCAACACTGATGAGTTTTATTTATTTTTTCATTTTCTTTGTTAGTCAGAGGGCAATGAAGTAGAATCTCAGAATTTCTTCAATTTGCATTTGTCTGATTAGTGGTCATTTTTTCACATGGCTAGAGAGAGCTTGAGTTTCTTCCTTTGAGAACTATCCATTCTTCTCTCCAGACCATTTATGGATGGTGAATGACTCTTTTCCTTACAAGTTTGAATCATTTCCTTATATATTTTGAAAATGAAATTTTAAGAAAAACTTGCTGCAAAGTTTTTATTGTTCCCCGTTCAGGTCACTGTTTCCCTTTGAATCTTAGCTTCATTACATTTGTGTGTACAAAAGACATTTTTGGATTCGGCTACATAAACCATTTTCTTTCTTTTAAAAATTAAAGAAATTTAGTGATGATTTTAATAGCCATTTCTAGAAGAAAACCTTTTAGGTCATTCTCACTGTACTGTGAAGTCAATTAAGTGGTAGCAGCAGGGAAATGCAAAGTCACAACTGCATACCAATGCAAAGGTTCAGAAAAGGAAAACTTTAGTCATGGTGCAAACGAATGAAATCAGAGCCCGCAGATAGCTCTTACAGGTAAAAGAGGTGGTTTGATACTGAAAACACACTTGGAGGAGCCCAGTGCTTCAGAACAAGACTTGCGTGGGGTCACACTGGATGGCCCTTTGAAGACCAACTCTGCCAACACAATTATTCTTTTGGTTTGTTGGTTTGTTTGTTTGTTTTTAATTTTCATGGAACCCTTTAAAAACTTTTTTAAATTTTTACTTGTAACATTGACTTCTCTGAGATTTTGAGTTCCAAATTTCCCCCCTCTCCCAGATGCCAAGCAATTTGATATAGGCCATACATATACTGTCATATTAGACACATTCTCACCTTAGTCATGGTGTGAAAGAAGGATCAGAACAAAAAGGAACAACCATGAGAAAGCAAAATCAACACAAAAAGGGAAAATACTTTGCTTTGCTCTGCTTTCAGACTCCATAGTTCTTTCTCTGGATGTGGATAGCATTTTCCATCATGAGTCTTTTGGAATTGTCTTCGATCCTGTCATTGCTGGGAAGAGCCAAGTCTGTCAAAGGTGACAAGATGCTTTTTCTGAGCTTGCTTCTGTCTGTCTCAGAATGTCCATCTGGAAGGACGTTCCTGGCCTCCTGATTCTTCTGAATCAGAGCCTGTGGCTATGTGAAGGTAGCTGTCCTGCCCCTAGCCCCTTCACACCTTCTGTCTCCTAACCACCTGCCTATGTCTGGTGGCCTGAGGTGTATTGTCCTCTGCCATGCTGGAGAGGCTCCTGCATAAAGTCGCACCTACAGTTCATCTGCCAGGACTGTGGCCCCTCCTGAGGTGGTATGAGCAGGGCAGGCTACAGTGAGTGCTTCTCTCAGCTCTTGGATCCTGGCCTCTCTTGTGGATGGAGACCTTCTGGGCTGCTATCACACACTGAGGACTACATATACCCCGGGGACTCCTGCTCCTCCATCTTGTACTTGTGGAGCCAAGGAGAATCCTCACATTTATTCCTATTGCATTTCTTCTTCATAGACTTGGTCCAGTGGTCTAACTTGTGAAGACACAAAGCAGATGGTATCAAGTACTAGGTCTTGGGTCTGAGGCCTGGCTTCAAATCTTGTCTCTGCTCCTCAATAGCTGTGTGACCTTGGCAGATCACTTGACCCCTTTGACCTTTCCTTACTGGGACCAGGGGGAAGAGGATGTTGACTGGCTGGCCCCTGACATCCTTCCAGACCTGAGGCTCTTAGGAGACCCACCAGCCCCTCTGCCCAAACTCCCAGATTCTCCTTGAGTCTGCTGTTTCCCTGGCCACAGGGAAGTTAACAGACTTGTTTGGGCTACCTCCACTGGCCATGGTGTCTGCTTACATGGCCATGCCCTTCCTGCATGCCTTATCAGCTCTTCCCCAGTTGTTTCCTTGGCCTTCTGGCTAGGCACTTTGCCTGAAATCTCTCTCCACCTCCTTCTGTCCTACACAGCATTGCCAAGGGGCTTTTCCTTTAGTTGCAGATCTGACCTTTACACTGCCCTGCCCTATCAGCTCCCAGGGCTCCCTGTTGCCTGCAGGAGAAGATGTCAATGTGTCTGTGTAGCTTTTAAGCTTTTTACAGCCACATGCTTCACTGCAACTCTACTCTCTGTGACCTTGCTGGCCATGGATATCTGCCATGCTGGAAATGTGCCCCTGTCCTGTGCCTGCACCCTGGCAGACCCATGTCACCCACCACCTTTTACATGAAGTCACTGCCTCCTCCCCAGTCTGTCATGTAGTAATTCTCCAGAGACATGCTGATTGTCCCAAAAGGCTCCTTGCAGATTGAAGCTTTGATAACTTAAAACTCCATGAAAATGGTTTTGGGACAACTCTGTATTTGAAGTGAGTGTGTGTCTTAGTGCATGTGGGTAGTGTGCTGTGTTTATGCATGTGTTGTGCATGTGTGTGTGTGTGTGTGTGTGTGTTATGCCTGACTCGACATCCTTGTCACCCCTTCAGAAAAGTAGCAGTGGATATTGGGTTCATCCATCCTGGATGGAAGCAGGCATGTTAGCTTGCTTTCATGGCTTTGCCTATTCTAGATGTTCATTAGCCATCCCTTTAATAGTATGTTCAAGGAGTTTCCAGGAATTGAAGACAAACTCCTTGATGTAGAGTTGAAACTCTTCACTGTCTCACTTTGAAAAAGGTACATGATGTGGACTTCTCAGAGCTGTCTGCTAGAGGCTCTCCAGTGACCTCTGCTAGCATTTTAGTGTTCCAGCATATGGTTCACTCAAGCCTGGTAACTTGGTCTCCTCATGGATAAGTAAGCTGTGTTCTTCTTATCCTCCTGCTGACCTTAGCCATTTTATTCTGTTCTTTCTAGTCCAAAGGTCACTTTGCTTCCAAAGCCAAATTCTCTGCTTTTTTGTTCTTTTGTCCAGTATAATTGCTCTTGTTCTCTCCCAGTATTTCTGTGGATAGCCTCCTCTTTCCTCTTCAGCCTTAGCACATATTGGACTTCAATACCTCTCCCTGTCTTCCCACAAGATTCTGCCATCCTTTGGCATGCGTACTTTCTACCTCCCCTTTCTTACAGCTGCCTATCTTACTTTTCTTTTCTTTTTTTTGACTGAAGTGCTAAAACTTAAATGCATAAGAAAAGAGCAACAAACATGTCACATGTATAGCAGAACTGAAGAGGGGATTCAAAATATATAACAATAAATTTCCATTTCAAGAAAGCCTGTATCATAACTATTGTGCATTGTGTTCAGAGGTTTCCATATTTTCTTCTTTTTCTTTTTAACAAACTGCTGAAAATCTGACAACTTATTAAATGTACATTTCCTTTTCATTTAGGATTCTGCTCAGCTTTGCTGGATGAGATTTTTTCAACTGGAACCCAAGTTCTTTTGCTCTTTGATATATAATGTTCTAAGACCTGCTACTAGCTCTTATGTGATTGTAATTGTGGCCCTGATGTGTTAATTTTTTTTCCTTGTTGCTCATAATATTTTATCACTAGTTGGGGGCTTCAGAATTTGACTATAATATTCCTGTGGGTTTTTGTCATAGGATCTCTTCTAGCTGCCAATTGGTAGATTTTTTTGATTTCTACTTCCCCCTATTGTCCTAATGTTTCAGGACAGTTTTCTTTCATTATTTCTGGAATTGTTGTATGAAGAGTTTTTGTTTATCATAGCTTTCAGGTCGACCATTTACTTTTATGTTTTCTCTTCTTCATCTGTTCTCCAGAGCAGTTTTTTTTCTTACTAGATGTTTCACATTCTCTTCTATTGTTTCATTCTTTATTTTTTGTTTCATTATTTCTCAGTCTCTTAGGACTGATTCTCCAATTGTGCCATGAGACCCCCTGTTCTAACCATACTTTTCTTTCTTTTCAATGCTGAATAGTCACCGTGATTCACTCTGTCATCTTTTTTTGTGGGGGAAAATCTTAAGAGATTGGAATTTTCTCACCTACGACTCTATCTTCCCATAATCCTCTCTGACTATCTTTTAAAAAACTATATTGGTTGAGGAATCTCAGCTTCATTTAGCTGTACCTCTTTATAACTGTTGCAGAAGATGGTATCAGAATTTCATTCTTAGGAATTCTCCATCCCTTCTGCTGAGATGTCCCCTAAAGAATTGTAGACCCTGGGATATTCTATCTCACTTCCCTTTGAATCTTTAGAAATCTGCTCTCCTTGAAGGTAGGGTTCATATCACACATTGCGTGGTCATCGTTTCCCTTAATGCAAACTCTTGGTGTTTGGGGTCCATCCCCATAAAGTTTCCCATCCTTTCCATTCCAACAACTAGTTCCTTCCTGTTGGGAAGAGTGAAGTCCAGATAGGCATTCCCCTGTTGCTCCTTGACCCTTGCAAAGAATGAAATTGTCATCATTGTAAAGAAGGACAAGACATCGAAAACACCTTCATATTTCATTTTTTCTTGATTACATGTAAAAACAATTGTTCACATTCAGTTTCTAATACTTTAAGTACCAAATTCTCTTCTTCCCTCCTTCCCCCACCCCCTCATTGAGAAGGTAAGCAGTTTGACATAGGATATACGTGTACAACCCACATCAGCCTGCTGTGAGAGGAAACACAGCAATCCCTCCTCCCCCCAAAAGCCCAAGAACAATAAAGTTTAAAAAAGGAGGCTTTGATCTACATTCAGACACCATCAGTTCATTGCACTGCTGAGAATAATGAAGTCTTTCACAGCTGATCATCATACTATATTTCTGTTACTGTGTACAAGGTTCTTCTGGGTTTGCTCATTTCATTCGGCCTCAGTTCATACTGGTCTTGCAAGGTTTTTCTGAAGGCATCTTGCTTGTCATTTTTGATAGCAAAGTAGTATTCTGTCACAATCATATACCACAATATTTAGCATTTACCGATTGATGGACATCCACTCAATTTCCACTACTTTGCTGCCACAAAAAGAGGCGCCATCAATATTTTTCTACATATACTTCTTTTTCCTTTATTTTTTTTTTATCCCTTTGGAATACAGACCTAGTAGTTGTATGGGTGGATCAAAGGGTATCCATGGTTTTATGGCTCTTTGGGCTTAGTACCAAGTTGTTCTCCATAGTGATGAAATCAGTTCACCACTCTAGCAAGAGCACATTCGTATCTCAATTTTCCCACATCTCTTCCAACGTTTCCCATTTTCCTTTCCTTTCATAATAGCCAGTCTGATAGGTGGGGGCTGGTAACTGAAAGGTGTTGACATTTGCATGTCTCCAGTCAGTTGTGATTTAGAGCATTTTTCTATATGATTATATATACCTTTGATTACGTGGTCTAAAAGGTGTTTTCAGAGCTAGTGACAGGGGCCTGCAAGTTTTCAGTTCTTCCCAGATGGAATGATTTAGGAGAGATGTGGTCACTGCTGTTCTAACCCACGCCTCCTAACCTCTGGTCTGTGAGCAATTGGAAGTACCCTTTTGCACCCTGGAACTGTGACCAGGGTCCCAGGTTCTTCTGGTGTCACTGCTGTGCCCCAGTCCTCACCTGGCTGTACCTCCTTTCTTGGCATCCTTCTCATCATCAGGCTATGACTGCCCTAGGAGATCCCTTGAGAAGGAGGCCTTGGCTTTGCTCCATGGTTCCCAGCCACGAATAGTCACCCTTTGGTCTTCTCCTGCAAAACAATGCCCCAGGCACAAATCAGTGTCATCCACGTGTTCCTGAAGGACAATGGCTCTCTCAGGAATGCCCTGAGCACCATGACCCAGGAAAAGGTGGAGATTTGCGGAACTGTTTCCCGCCTGGAGAAGACATGCAAACACCATCTGGAGAATGGCTGTGGGCCCATCCTACACCTCGGCTCCTGCTTTACTCGTGTTCCTCTGGGTGGGGAGGGGTGGGGCAGCTGGAGGTGCCCCGCGGGTACAATTCCCAGTAGTGGGCCCAGAGTGGCTAGAGGGGCAGGGACATGGGGTGGTCATGAACAGGTCTGGCAGGTGGTTTTCATTGGTGGAGAGCCTCTGCTGTTGGCTACGAGAGCTCAGGAAAAATCATTGCTGGGTCGTGTATAAAGTGAGGCAGCAGGAAGAGAACCCAGGTAGGGCTAAAGCTCTTTATACTGTCTGCACTACTCAGCAAGGCACACTGCTTTGGCACTTGTGAAAAAGCAGAGTAAGGCTCAGGGTGGTTGCAGAAAAAGAGGAGGATCTTGCAATCCCTTCCTGGGAGAGAAGAGGGCCTGTCCATGGTAGGCCAGGAACCCTGTGCCTCTCTCTTTACTAGCTTCATTTGCCCAGGAATGTCCAATCAGACTTCGCTCTGACATCCTCAGGCCTCAGGGACCTGGCAGGCATGCTCTCTGTCCCAGCAGCCAAGGCTGCTACTCTACACTGTGCGGGACTGGTCCTACCTGGCTCACTCCTAGTTTTCTGGGTCTGGGTCACTCTGCTTTGGCCTGCCATTTAATTTAGTAGGTGCCTACTCGAAAAGGAGCTCCAGAGAGAAGCTAGCGGCCTGGTTGAGGGGAGGCCCCAGAGCTGCCTTTCTATCAGGTCTTGTTTTACAGATGTTGGGTGTTTGTTCTTGACCCACTTATGCCCTGGGGTCCAATTGGTGACAATATTGCCTTCCTGGGAAATAGGATTCACCTCATCTCCCCTGGGAGTAGGAGAAGGAGTCACAATTTGGGCTTCTTTGTAAAAGACTCAGTGGGACACACACCTGCATGTGACCATGCAAGAAGGAGGAGGAAGTTCCTCTGGGTGTGTGTGTATAGCCCTGGCACATGCCATCTAGGGAATCCCTCTCTCCAACTTGATGGTTGTATCCTCAGGGGCTGAGGATAAGCTTCCTTTACTTTTGTCATTTCTGTTTGAAGTACAAATCTATGGACCACATTGGCCCGTTGCCAAAAGCTGAGAAAGCTGTTTGGAGACAAGAGAAAATGGCTTCACAAGGCATGAGGCACAGCAAGTCAGGGATGGTGAAAGCTGCCTTCAAAAGTGAAACCAGCCAAGGAGGGAGCACATCTCCCTACAGGGTAAGGCAAGATAGAGCAAGATATGAGGAGGAAGACCTCAGGCATTGTGGGGGCCTGCAAGTCTGTCTCCTGCCCAAGGGCTTGGGGTGTGGAAAGATGACCTGGGCAGTCATTCCTGTGGCTTCTCTAGACACCACTCATGAGGGAATCTCAAGGATGCCAGTGGGCTGCTGGTTACCTAGAGGAGCCAGGGTAGGGGGGCGGTGTGGAGGAATACTAGCTGACACTCTGCATGGGAGCAGAATGGTGGGCCACAACATCATCGGCATGAAAAGAGTGCCAGCCACTTCATCTCATTATCCTCTTCTTTTCCTTTGAAGATGGAAAAGTCATATCTGCATTTCCTACCAGCAGAGAGCTCCCTGAAGGCCCTGATTTATCAAAACAGGTATCTCCAGCTGCTGATTCAAGGATTTCATGTGGTTGCACATTTGGGAGTGTTCCCCTCCAATAAGACACACAAGTGGGCTCTTACTTCTTGCCCCTTTCACCAGTTTAGGATGGAAGTAGGGGTTGTCATTTCCATATTATGTTTTATTTTATTTATTTATTTGTTTCTTTCTCGATAGTTCAGTTTTTCAAAAAGTTTGTCTTTCTTGCAATGCTCTTAGGCTTTAAATATATCAATTTTGCTATTCAGATTTGTTTTGTTTTCAGAAATTACACTGCATAATTGCAATACTGATCCAACAATTTTGTCTTTACTTTACTTTCTTTTTTTTTTCAGCCAAAGACAAGGTTTATTAGAATATTGTCATGTCAGGCAAAGTCTTAAGGAGCCCAAAGATGAATAAGCAGTGGTTACACTATAAGAATCTCAGCACTGGCTGAGATGGAGGCAAAATAGACCTTATAAAGAGAATGACTGTGGGAGGGATCTAGGAGTGGCCAAGTAGTCCTTGAGGGTGGGAAGTGGCCTGGGGCCATAAGGAGTTAAGACAATGGAGGGCAGTTTGGGTGTAGCCACCAGGACAGACCAGTTGATGGGATTATAGCCTCAGGGAAAAGCCACAGATTTAGCCATTTGGGAGAGTCCAGGGTTTTTCCTTTTTGGTGCCCAGATCCCAACCCCACCATTCTCCCCTCAAACAAATGGGAACCAAATTCTTTTGGAAGAAGGGGTGAAGGTTTTGGCTTCTGAAACTGCTACCTAGTGGCAAGGGGTATAGAGCTGTCCCTGCCTCCAGGGGCTCCCAAACGGGAGGGTGTCTGGAACCAAGTGCAGGCTGCATCCACAGAAACATGTGGGTGAAGAGCTTGGATGTTTGGGGTGCTCTACTTGAACCCCAAGATTGTAACACCAGACCCTGCCTGAATGAATTCAACTGAAATCTTCTTCCAGCCAGAGAAAAAGTTTATTAGTGATAAATCCTATAGGCCAAGTGACACCCCTAAGGAGGAGCAAGCAGGAGAAAAGCTCAGTTTTTGAAGCATGAGAGATTCTCAGCATGTGAATGGGGGCCAGCCTGGATCTCATATACATTAAGGTAACTTTGGAGGGCTAGAGCAGGGGGCTGGGAAAAGGGTCTACATAAGAATTTGGATTGGAAGGTCTGACAGATTCAATAGACAATGGGAATAGAAAATGAAGGGAACTGGAAGGCATCTGCATAAGATCAAAAAGTGGGGCTAGGACTTTTAAAGGGAGATAAGGGGAGTCAATAGAGAACCTAAAAATGTAAAGGTTTTCTGGGGCCTCTGGACAAATGGGAGCCAGATTCTTTTGAGGGCAAGGGGCAAAGGCTCATCAGAATAAGATCAAAAGGTAGAGCTAAGGCTTTCAAAGGGAGATGAATAGCTGGGACCTGTAGACAAATGGGAGTCAGATTTCCTTTGGGCAAGGGGTGAAGATCTCTGCTTGCACCCATATCCCATCATTCCCTGCTCAAACAAATGGGACCCAAATTCTTTTGCTGTAAGGGGTGAAGGTCTAGGCTTCTGAAACTGCTTCCTGCTGGCAAAGGGCATAGAGCTGTCCCTGCCTCTCTGGGTGCAGTTCTAGGGGTCAGAATTCAGAACGTGGCAGATGCCAGCTTCAGTGGGCTAGACACTTCAGACTCTGTCTGTGAATGTTGGGATTTACAGCCTGAGCAGTCATGTGGAAGTTAATGGCTCCGACCCCAGAAGAAAGGAATCTGGCAAGATTAGGCAGTAAACATGGACCAAAGAAACACAAGAGAAATATGATCAATAGGGGAATAATAGGGGCCAGCATAGAAAGAAGCCAGGACTCACATGAAAAAGATGGTTTGTAGCACTGAGGTGATTGTGAATTTCTTGCATCCAACTGGCCTTTTCCAAAATATGTTCAGAGCAGAGTTCTACCTGCCCAGAGTTGTTGATGTACATGCCACAAGATGCATTAGCTAAAGCACATACACCCCCACTGGAGTCAAGTAAGCAGTTTCAGGCTATTCTATTATCTTCAACTGCTTTTACTAAGGAATGCAAAGATTGCTGGACTTCCCAGAGACCACAAGGTGTCACATTTGCCAGAGGACATGTCCCCCAAATCTATGTTTTGCCCTTAAGGTAGAGACTGTGAGCCATGTGGCATTGAAAATGGAAAAGAGGGGTACTAAAATTCTGAAGGTGCACACCCCAAAGTCTTTGTAGGCTGCCAAACATTGGGTAGCCAGGACAGTAGTTCTGGGGTCTTGCCATGTGTTGGCACTTCATTTCACCTTTTCCTCCAAATTCTTGCCACTAGTGGCATCTGCACAGACTGGAGTGCAGGTCAAAAGATTAGCAGGAACTCTTACAAGACCTCTCTCCACAGTGGGGTTAACTTGTCTAGTGGCCTTGGAGCTTGTCTCCTAAGTATGGGAATATTGCCCTGCAGAGAAGCAAGTTGTACATATAGAAAGAGTAGCCCATAGAGAAGTGGCAAGAATAAATGAGGTGGCATAAACTTGCGAAAAAGTCGTATTGTGGAGGGGGGCTTTGTGGAGATGAGAGTGTAAGTGGTCTACCTGGTTTCCCAGTTTGACCAGGGAGTTATCTTCCCACTTTTGGAGGCCACATGTAAATTGAGAGGCTTCCTCAAACAGAATGAGTGTAGCAGCCACTGCCTGGAGGCTTGCAGGACATCTAGCAGCAACAAAGTCTAAGGGTTTTGAAAAATGAGCAACCTGGCTAGCATCAGGTCCTAAGAACTTAGTTAGGGGCTTGGCAATCAATTTAGATTTTAAAATCACAAAAGCTTTAGCCTGGACCAGTCCCCACTCTTCAGGGAGTGAGTCAGGACCCAGAGGCACATCATGAAAGGGCATAACAATAAAACTATTAATAGGTATCCAGAGTCTAGATAATCTTGCCAAGCTCAGAAAAGTTCAAAATTGTTTCTTAGTGGCTGGGACCATAAGAGGGTGGCCCAGAAACTTTACAGACTGGCATGCTATGTGTACTTTGCTCAAAAGGACCCTATAGCCTTGCATTCCCAAGAAATTAAGCACTGCTGAGGGGGAGAGGCCAAAGAAGCCTCCTAGCTGGGTCTACAACTAAAGCTATGGGAAAATACTTTAGGGTCTTGGAGATGAACAACGGCTGGGGTGGCAAGAGTAGTTTGCCCAGGAATTCCCTGATCCAAAATTGTCTCCCACACTTCCAGGGGAACATGGGGAGGTGTGGTACACAGAGGGAGAAGGGATAGGGGAGGCTTAACTAGAGAAAATTGGCTCCCCACATCACCATCAGGTCCCTTCCTAAGGAGGGGGCAGGGCAAGAGGAGAACATGAAGGAGGAGTGTTTAAACAACAGATTCTGAAGGGGTCTGTGTGGAGACATCTCTCAGCTATACCTTGAATGCCCATCGGGTCACGGGGCTATTAGGTCCAGAGTGATTGGTTAAAGCAAAAAGCACAGCCATGGTAAAGTGGGTAACCTTACCTTCAGCCTCAATTTCTGCCCAGGGATTGGAGGAGAAAGTGGGAGTGTTGCCTGGACCCAGGCTCCCTTGTCCTCCCCCAGTCTTGAGAAGACTGGAGGACAGGGTACTAGTAGCTGCTCTACCACTTCTACCTTGGGGACAATCTTTCTTCCAATGCCCCTCCTGGTCACATCTTGGGCAAGGTCCTGGAGGTGTCCATCTTTGGGGCTCCCTGTGAACTCCCCTGCCTGAGTTGCTGGGCTTCCTCCTAGGGCATGTGCTGGAAGGCACTCCTTGGAACAGTGACCCTCCTGCTGGCATCAGAAGCAGGTTTTCCCACTGCCCAAGTTGCCGGGAACACCCTTGGGTCTTTTCCTGACCATGGTAGCAGCCAGGAATCAAGCATGTTTGTTGTCTCTAGCCCTCTGCCTGTGTTTTTTCTCCTCTAAGATCTTGGCTTGGGCCCACACCCCATCATGGGGACACTGGCTGCTGCTAGCTGTTTTACTACCAACTGTAGGTGAATGGCCTGGAGTGTGGAAGACAGAAATCTGACAGAAAAAAAAATGCAGGGCCCACATATGAAACAGGGAGGAGATATTTAGGGCCCAAATATGAGAGGAGGAGAAAACATGCTTAGCTCTGTTTGGTTTCCGATAATTCAGTTATCCAACCATGCTTTATCAAATCCACCTCATAGCTGGACTCAGGAATAGCCAGGCAGGTAACATTCCTGTCAAAGGAACATAATGGGGAAATTCAGCCAAGAGGATCACATCTTAGCCTGAGGCTAAAATTGTCCTCTCAGCTTTTCCTGATGATGACTTCCCACCACTGTCACCTTCCCCTAAGTAGCTGGTGGCATTTCTCTCACATGGTGGATTATTGATTCAACTGATTATGACCTATCACACAACTCAAAATAAAATCCTATCAGCTTTTACCTCAAACAGCACATTTTACTAATTACAGCTTAGGAAAATCTTTTCCAGGAGTTACACCTCAAACTTCAATATATCCAAATGTTAAGAGCCAATCATTAGAGATTTCTATACACTTGCAAATTCTCAGCAAGCCACACATAACCCAAACAAGCTTTTTGACTAGTTTACACAGTGAAACAGTAATCACAATGGCTAAATTAGTTTAGTGGTAACCAAATTATGAAAAGTTGCTTGACATGCCTGATAACAGAAATTTCACCAGTTTGAAACTTGAAACAAAGCCATTACCACTCAGGTGACTTCAGTTTTGTTCAATGCACTTCCAAATTACTTTCCACAGAGAATCAACATCTCATCTTTAACAGTGAAAACTGCCAATTTCAAAGAGCATGCTTAGCCAAGTTCAGAGGGCAGCTTCTTTAGCTTGAGCAGGATGAGCTGAACCTGGGTGATGTTTCCAGGCACAGGCTGCCCCGAGCCCAAGGCCATTGCCAGTGGGGCCATGCTGAGCTGCTGCCCCTTCCCCTCCTTCCTTTCCCATGTAGGGTAGGGCGAAATCAAAGGTGAGAGGGAAAGGGTGAAACTCTCTTATCCTATGAGAGGGGTTCCCAGATACCCTCTTGACTCCAGTGAAGGGAGTAGGAGATAAGAGTGACCAGGGTTGTAAGAAGGAGTTCTCAACTCCTCAATCACAAAACCTCCAGCATCTGCCAAAATATTTTTAACTACTGTAACTTTCTCTGTAAACTCCATGAAAGAGGATTCAGAGGTGGAGAGGGAAAGGAGGAAGGAAGCCTCAGGGAACCAAAAAGCAACTGCAGTTTTCCCCAATTCCCTAGTGCCCAGGGAATTAATACAATTGAGCATACACTTCCAGATAGTCTGTCCTTCCTTTTCCTCTATGCTGCAGATGGTGTACCCAGGTTCCTGGCCTTGAAATGACCCCGCGGACCGTGAGCCAGAGAGCATCAGGCTGAATGTGAGACAGCCTCATAACTGTCTGCCAAAAAAGTACCTCCAAGCGTTGGTGCTTGGAGAGCAACCCTAATTGAAGAGCAAGAAAGGAGGGGAGGGGGGAGGCTTACACGACTTCCAGTCTTGGCTGGAGATCTTGGGCTTAGGCAGTTTCCCCATATGGGCCACAAAAATGATGCGGTTTACAGGTTCAAGGGTCCTGGGAGTCCAAAATCACAACATGTGGGTCCTTCCAAAAAGAATTCAATCCAAGGCCTCTTTCAGCCAAAGACAAGGTTGATTAGAATATTGTCATAATGGCAGACACTTAAGGAGTCTTCACATGAGTAAGCACTGGTTAGAGTATGAGATCCTCAGCAGTGGCTAGATTTTAAGAATCTCAGCCTTTACTTTTCTTTGAAAGTAACAAACAGAATGAGAGTGTTCAGAAAGTACTAGCAGGCATCATTGAACCCAAGATACTAGCTTTAGTTCCAAAAAGCTCTTCCAAAGACTACATTTCAAGACTACTGTATACTTGAGAGTCCTTTTATTCTCTTAAATAGAAATAATATAATAATTAACAGTCCATGAATGTTGGTTTATGTGCATGGACTAGCTGTGACTCTTTGTGTGTACCCTATGTGGCACATGAGGCATTTCAGTAATATAATATGTTGTCATATGCTTCATCAATCATGAGGCATTTATGAAGTAACTCTTTCAAATCCCAATTCGAAATGTGAGTAAACAGCATCATTTATTGTGAACACCCCCAACACAAACCCAAATTTTGAACAGATTTAGCTCTAGGAAGGAAATAAACAGTTTAATTTCTCTCAAGCTGGTTTGGCATGCATTGCATGAAAGTTCAGTCCCAAATTGACTGCCAGGGCAGCAGAGATGAGTAAGAACATTCCAAGCATGGTGTAAAGCCAGAGAAAAGGCCCTGAGTTGGAAGACAGAGGGTCATTTGCAAAGAACAGCCAGGAGGTCACTGGACAGAAGAAGGTGAGGTGGGGAGAGAAGTGTGAGGGGACTGATTACTTATATTATTTTAATGATAGTAAATAAAATTCATCATAACATTTCACTGTGATTCTTAAATACTTTTATTGTAATATGTCTCCCCCACCTTTTACATATCCTGCCCCTTGCTGATGAATGAGAGTTATTTCGTTTTACTTTCTTGGTTGTTGATAACATTCTAATAGTGCTTCCTTTTCACAAGGCTGATAGGTTGGAAAACAATTTCCCTATCAGAAATATAGAGAAGCCAATAATATTGCAAGTGACATTAAATTCAGTTTGTATTCATTATCATTCTCTGTATCAATCTCAGTCTTTTGACCACCACCTCTCTGACCCCTCCTCCCCACACAGTGTATCTAGTTTGCCTAAATTTGTTTCATTTCCATTCTTTGTTTTTATGAGAATGGCTTATGTTTGAAACCTATACCACAGAACAGTAATATGCAAATAACTAAATATAGATATCATTGCAGCTGAAACAGAGTCCTTCCTAAGTTTAAGTATTGCTGAATCATTTCAGAGGTGGTCAGGTAAGGATATTAGTTGAGGATACCACACAGTGCTTTATAATGAACAAACCAAAAGGGAGATGCAGAGTCTGAATGTCAGAAACCAAGCCATGGACATTAACTTTCTTCATCCATTTTAAGGAATATTTGCCTGGTACAAGAATTTCATCAGCCTTTTAAAAGACACAGGTGTGGTTGTTTTCTTTCTCTTGGGAAGACTTAAGAATGTGCATAGTGAGGGAAGACACAAGACAGCTATGTCAAGGAATGGAGAGCTATAGGGAATGAAATCCAACACATTTTCCACAACTGGTTTCCATTTAGAAGTTCATTTGACCTACTTAAACTCATTTTGAAAATCAACAGGATATTGATGTGGCTGAGATTATGAGAAGGTGGAACATTTCATATATCCTGAATGATTTAGAATGAGAGGCACTCTTCGTTCAGTAATTGACTCGTGACAGTGTCGGAGATAATAGTTTGAACTTTCACAAATTAAATATCACTGAGAGGTGACTTCAACTAGCAGCAGAAAGTCTTGTTCTTCTGCCCCAATACATGTTGTTCTTTTTGTGTCCTTCAGATTTGTCATGCAGCAAAAGGGATTACTTTAAGGGGTTTTGGAATGATGGTGAGGGTGAACTGAAAGGGAATAATTTTAGAGTTAGTGTCGTATAGTAGAAAGAATGCTCTCTATAGTGAAAGGATTTGGGATCCAAATTTACTATGTTGTGAAAGGATATGGGATGCAAATCTGCTCTGGTGCCAAAAGATCTCAGATGAAAATCCACCTGTGTGTCACTGGGCCTGAGATTCTTCATCCCTAAAACAAGGGGACTGGACCTGATAGTCTGTGAATTCTTTTCTAGATACCCATCTGTGGTCCTCTGTCCATAGGTCCATACTGAATGAAATATGCAAATGTTCATAATGACCAACATAGAGTCATGGTCTATGTCTGTTTTAAGATAAGATTGTCTGTTTGGTCTGTTTTAAGATAAGGTAAATTTTTATGATAATGCTAAATGGAAATATTAAATGCTGTGTTTATGTATTGTCCCAGAATTATCAGCATCTATTCTGGGTAGACTATCTAAAACTATTTTATGTAAGCTATTTTTCCCCCCACTTGACTTTTTTTTTAAACCTGTGTGAGGAGTCAAGACAACTCTGAGAGGACTTGAAAGTGGAATTCTTTTAAGTTGCTTTTAGGAAGTTGAGTAAAATGATTTCATAAGAAAAGCTGAAAACTTCCATCAGAACTTAAACTTAATCAGTAGCTATTAGCATGTAATGAAAAATTTGTCTCCTTGATATCTTGATTTCACTTATAGGTATGAATACTATGTTACCCTAAAAGGAGGAATGCCCTTAGTGACAGGATGGTTTGATTATTAGCTACAAAGGATTATTTGACCTTATTCTACATTTCTGCCTCTGACTTGCCCAAATTAGTTCTGTGTGGCTTTGGAAAAGTCCTTAATCCTCTCTCAATGTCTTCTTGTATGGATTGGTGTTGATAATGTCTTCCATAGGGAATGAAATGATAAATACAGAACGTTTTGCAAACTTTAAATTACTATGCCGGTTATTCTTTGTTTCAGCATTAGGAACTAAAGGTTGGGCCTGTGATTTGAAGAATTTGTGGAACTCCCAGGTGAGGTTCCTCCTTCCATGAATGCAGCTTATTAACTTCTCTAGAACTTACTGGATCAAGAGGGGCTAAAGTGACTTGCTTTGGGTAATACAGCCATTATGTGTCAGAGACAGTACTTGAACCCAGACCTTCCTACTTTGATACCTCTCCTAATATCATTGTTGTTGTTATTATTATTATTATTATTACATATGTGGTGTGTTTATATTTAATCTAAAACTAGAAATGACCAATCAATGCCACACAACTTAGAAATCAATCATTTTCTTAGGCTTTCAAATCTATTTTGCTCCATGCAGGTTGGAGTAGAAACTTAATCCTTACAAAGAAATTGAACATTTTGAAAGAAGAAACTTATGAATTAGGACTAAGAGGTTAGAGAAACCTGGAATATCCCATAATATCTGATGCAGGGTATCATAAGCAGAACGAGGGGAACTAGATACATAGGGACCACAACATTGAAAGGCAACTGAATTCAGAATAATTGTAATGAATGACCATTGTATCCCCACTGCTGGGAGCACAACTTGTGAGCCTTCTTGGGATTTTCTTGTTTCCACTTGGTAGAAAGGAAGGGATTCTAGAAACAGAGCAGCACTTATGTTAACAGATATGGTTGTTTCCTTTGTTGGATTTTATTTGATGTTTACTTTGTTGAAGGGAAGATTTGTCGATTTCCAGGATTGTATTGATGTCTTTTCTAATTGCTCCTAACCTATGACTGAATTAATGGATTCGAGGGAGCTCTTGGTGTGCAAATACTCCCTTTACCAGTGCAGATCAGCAACTCAACTGAAACTGCTTGTTACCTTACCCACATTATATTACCTAATTTATAACTCTAGAACATTGCATGGGGATGCTAAGAGGTTATGTGAGTTATATAGAATGATACAACTAGTATTTGACAAAGAAGTACTCAATTCAATTATTCCTGATTCCAGTGCCAAGAATTCTTATCCTAGATAGATGGATGGATGGATAGATAGATAACTGTATTTCAGTATAATTAGTTTCCTTAGAAACTAAAAGAAACTTAGAAATTAAAAGAAATAAGCAACTTATTCTGGCAAGGTAGTATGTTGACTCTGACCAAATAAAACAGCATTGTGTTGAAAAAGTTAACCTACCTTTCTTATCACCCAATTTCACCAATCATAGAATCTGGCATTAATGATGACTTTATAACTCTTAAGCATTCCCTCTTGAATTAGGATGAAGGAAGGCATTTTTAGTACCCAACACATTGGGATTTCTTCTGCCTAAACTCTTTGGTGTGATAGCTTACTGATTTTGTTGCTGTTTTTCTGATGATACATTTTACAATGCTTATCTAAAAAGACTTGGTGTTGCCTTGAAGCCTCTGTGTAGCATATTAAGATAAAAACATAAATTGCCTTTTCTGTAAGTCAGAACCATGATATCAAAGTCAAAAGATCAAATGAACACTTTGGATATTGAGTATTAAAGAAAAACTCCTGATGCATTCTTAGGCATAGGAAGGAGGATTGAGCTTTTCATTCCATTGGTATAGAAACTGTAGATCAACACATTCTCTGCAACTCTGGCTACCTGGAACAGAGGTGTTAAACTGGCTACCATAACACTCAGGTACTTCCTAACCCAGATTAATATGCAATTGGGAAACATTTAACAAAATAAATAATGTTTAGTAGAGCATAGCTAATGTTAACACCTAGCTTTCTCCAGTAATATTTGGCCTCAAGGATCCTTATTGTTTCCCTACTTTTGTTTTAAATTTCTACTTGAGTTTGACAGGCCTGGCCTAGACCCCTAAGAGTAAATCACTTGTCTAGGATGTCATAGCTTTATGTAGTAGGGCCTTCCTGTT